TTTTGTTTGTAATTTTTTGGGCTGTAAATATGAAGATTATTTTAATTTATATCTAAACAAAATAATATTAAAAAACAACTGAAATGTTGATATATCTGTTTATCACAGATAAGTTCCAGTATGGTTATGTTTTAGGTTTACTTTCTAACTTTGTGTTAGTGACCATATGATTGGAAATAATCCCAATTCAGTCATCGAAACAAACAATGTGATGTGAAATGATGCCCAATGTGCAAATGATACATTAAAAATGGAATCTAACGCTTTCACAGTATTGTAGATATTCTTTAAGGCTGTTTGTATATGTATGTTATGGATATGAATTACCTACCTGCATTTGGCTTTATTTGTGATGATTTACCTTTAATTCCAAACTATCAAAATAGAGTTTTCATGACTATGATTTCAAACTACTGCTTTACATGGACATATCTGTCATACACCAAATATTGTGAGAGAAATTGCACAGTTTACTGAACAATTGTGTTAAGCCCACCTGGCCTGAAGGTCGGAGGTTAGCTGATGTCATAACGCAGCATCCATCGTCCATCTGTCTGTCCACTTTCAATTGACAATTTGTTCAAACGATTTCTACAGAACCAATCAGTGATGGAGTTTTATTAGCTCACCTGCCCGAAGGGCAAGTGAGCTTATGTCATGGTGCGGCGTCCGTCGTCCGTCCGTCTGTCCGTCTGTCAATTTTTCCTTTAAACAACTTCTTCTGAAGAACGGACAGGCCTAGAGTCGTGATATTTGGCGGAAAGCTTCGTTGGTAGGAGCCCTACAAAGCTTGAGAACGAAAATGACCTTGTTTTCAAGGTCACAGGGGTCAAATATGTCAAAAACTTCAAACGACTTCTTCTGAAGAACTAAAAGGTATAGAATCTTCATATTGGGCTGATGGCTTCCTGGGATAGAGCCCAACAAAGTTTGAGAATGAAAATGACCTTGACCTACTTTCAAGGTCACAGGGGTCAAATGTGCAAACACTTTAAACGACTTCTTCTGAAGAACTGAAAGGTATATGATCTTTATATTTGGCTGGTGGCGTCCTGGGATAGAGCCCAATAAAGTTTGAGAATGAAAATTAGTTTGACCTACTTTCAAGGTCACAGGGGTCAAATATGTCAAAAACTTCAAACGACTTCTTCTGAAGAATTAAAAGGTATAGAATCTTCATATTTGGCTGATGGCTTCCTGGGATGGAGCCCAACAAAGTTTGAGAATGAAAATTACCTTGACCTACTTTCAAGGTTACAGGGGTCAAATGTGTCAAACACTTCAAACGACTTCTTCTGAAGAACTGAAAGGTATA